ATGCCGACGCAGCTTGTACAACGCTTGTGTTGCCATGACTAAAGCGCCGTTTATACATACATGTATGTGCATATAAATAAATAAATATATGGCCATATACACACATACATATTTATATAAACATACATACATTCCGACTTAAGCATAGTTTGGACCGGCAACATTAGGGGGAGCGCCCCCCGCAACGTCAACGCCCCGATATGCGAAGCAAATCGCTGTTTAACCTAGATCGCAAAGCAAGCAAAGAGCTGTAAGTATGTGTGTCATCCAACCAGGGCTAGATGGAATTTGGGTTTGATTTGGGCAGCTTTTGCATGTGGCCACTACGCATACATACCCCAGTGCCGTTATCACAAACAATAACTTTGCGTCCTTTGCTATCCATTTTGTGCACCAACTAGAAAATTGAACTTCAACTGAAACTGTCCACGGCTGGTGCTGGGGGTGCTGCTGCTCCTGCTGTTGTTGTTGTTGTCGGCGGTTGTTGATGTCGTCGTGGGTGTTTATTGCCTCTTTGCTGCTGCTGCTGCTGGAGCTGAAACAACTGCTATAACGGCTTAATGTTTGGGCGCGTCGCCGTAGCAGTTGGATGACTCGAATTGTTGCTGCCACAGCCGTTTTAATACTACTGTTGAATGACCAGACGAAGCTGACTGCAGTTAATCACACAATTTCCAACCGTACAAAAACACACACACATTCACAGACACGCATACACATGCCAGCTTCATTCATACACACAGGCGAAACTCACACACAACACACACACATATGTACTGGCACGCGGGCGGACTCTGCTCTGAATGCGTCGCTCTCTCACTCTCTTGCCGTATTTTCGATTGTTTTGCTTCAATTTTTAAATTTGTGCACACGCTTTATGCAATCAAAGTGTGTCACAAATAATATCTTTTCTATTTATTGATTGCAAAAGACTTGCAAACGGTTGCAAATTTCAATTTCTAGGCGGCACAAAACACAAGAAATAACACACACATACAAAACTAGAGTTGCGTTGTAAGTATCGATATACCGATTCGCTTATCTCATCAACTATCGAAACCAACTATTGACCAGATTTGAGGGCTGCGTAACAATTATCGGCATTTAGAGATCGTCACGAAATTTGTAATCCAAGTTGAGCGCGAATCGGATAAAAAGTAATATATACACAGAAAAATATGGAAAATATTTATAAAAATGGATAGTTATACTTCAGATAGGGTATAGTAATTGCATCGAACTTCAGAAAGATTATCCAGAATCCAGAAACATATCTCTTGTTAGCAAATAAATAATTAACAAATGAAACTACATTGAATTTGATCTACTTGAAGGACAATATCGGGGCTATATGCAACAGAAGAGATATTATTAACAGAAGAAGCAGGCGGAGAGTCGCGACAATTTTTATTTTATTGGTTTATATAATATGTATGTATACTGTATGTATATATATATATATATATATATATATATATATATATATATATATATATATATATATGTAATTTGTTATCTTTAGAATTGCTTTAAGAGGCGAAATGTTAAATGTCTTAGATATACATAATGCTGTTCTCATATACATTTGTATGCTTCTTTCATAATTTTTTTATTTTTGAATTAATTTTTGTTAGTTATTGAGTAAATTTCTTTTTGATTCTGCTTAGAGTTCATTGTGGTCGAGATATATCTTTATGTCTGTCTCTGTGTGTGTATCGTATTTATTCCTATGTTCTTGATATTTATCAAAATCTATATATATGCGTATCCTGTGTGTGAGTGTGAGGTCAGGCTACATACATAAATAGCATACTTATGTATGCCTGTATGTTTGTTTGTTTGTTTGTATGTTGGTTCTAAGCGGTGGACAACAAATGACATTTTGTTATACAATTTATAAATTGTTGTTGTAAATGGAACAGTTAATTGAGAAGCACGCTGTTTGGTTTCATTTCTAGTTAGCATTGATTAACCAGGCTATCCATAACTGTTATACATACGCTCGCAGGTATACATATGACAGTTGGCGCCATTTAATATAACACTTGAACACGCTCTCAACAAAGTATAACACATCCGTGTGTGTGTGTGTGTCTTGTGTGTAAATCTTTAATTACATCTCGCAGTTTGGTGTTGGATTTTCCTTTGATTTTTCCATTATTTTTTTTCATTTTTCATTTATAATTTTAAATAATTTTCTTTTCATTAAATTGATTTTAGAATTTCATTCACCCGCTGCTCATTTAGCAACTAATTGCCTTCCTTTCCTTGGGTGTTTTCATCGTTTTTAATAATTGTTACTAACTAAATTGGTTTCAACATTCTCGTTTATAAGCGGCATTAACATAAATCACTGTAACGGAATCTATGCAGTTAGGGCTTAAAAACTTATTCACTATATTTTAGACTGACCGTAGTAGTAGTGCCAAAGTGTAATATTAACTGCTAACTGCAATTTTTTTAAGTTGAATAATTCTGTGGATTTTTATAAAAGCTAAATTTGGTTTTCACTTTATCTTAGTTTTCAGTTTGAAAATATATATTTATATATATATTTATACATATATATATATATATATATATATATGTACACATATATATATATATGTATTTATATATATATTAATAGATAATTGCGTTAGTATTATTTCGACACGTGCATAATCCATTAATTTTAAGTTAATTACTAATTTTTATGACTTTACATATTAAGGATCAGTTGACGTATAATTATGTATATAAGTGTATTTTAGAATTTCAAATAGAGTTCGCAAATTTGATAAGCAAAGTACAGCGTTTTAGAAAAATTGGTGGAAAAACAGCAAAGGTTAATTCAACTCGACTGGAGTCCTTAACGAAACATTGATTATGAAGGCATTTCCGTATCTATATAAATATATTTTTATATAAATATATATAAATATATGACTTAGTTACGATCAGGGACAGTTTATCGGAGACTTGTTACCACTTAGACCACATTTATTTATGGATTTCTTTACAATTCATCTTGTCGTGAATCATAGAAGTTGTTGACTTTGTTTTGGTTTTATCTTATGAAAGTCGGCTTTGATATATTTCCATATATCAAAAACGATTTGATTTTCTACTTAGAAATTAAAGATAAATCATAATTTCAAATATTTTGATTACTAACCCTTTTCACAGTGAAATCGAAACCAAAAATTGAAATTGAAATTGAAATTGAAATTCTTCAATGTCCCCGATGCGAGTTGTTGTTAATTGAAACATTAGCTAACTTGAGTTATATTATAATTTAGAGAGTTGTTCTCTTTTCTTTTTGGTTTTTGTATCTGTTGTTTCTAGCATGGCACAAGTAAATCTTTTGATTTCAGTTCTAGAAGTAGTGGGAAAGTGTTCCAAGTGCTGCCTGCCTGACGTGTGTGACAGAGTTAAGTAAAAAGCTTATTGTTTCATTTAGACTTTATACAGTACGAGTTCGCTATATGTATATATATATATATAGATACTATTTGCCAAAAAACATTCATATTTATATTAATTTATATGCATGTATATATATATAGTTTGTTTTATAATATTTTATATATTGATTTGCTTTGATGTCTTGTGCATAATTTGTGGGCAAAAGGGAAATGCTGTGCGTGCGTTTTTCTTATTTTCTACCAAGTGAAACTCTTTCTTTATTTTTTCCATTATTTTCTATTTTCAAAATTTAATAACAAACAAAAAAACGAATAAAAATTAAATTAAAGTGAAATAAAAAAAAACTATGCGAAATATGGTGCAAATGTTTTAGTTGGTGTTTATTGGATTTGTTATTATAAATATATATAAATTGATTTTTATATATTTCATAATGTGATTAACAAAAAAAAAAAATAAAACAAAATATGAAAACATGTGAAATTCATTTGCAGATACGCACACACACGCACGCACACGCACACATGTGTGTGTTTAGATATTTTTAAGTATTTTATTTAATTAGTTAAATATATTTGATTAGCTATTTAAATGTTAAATTGATTTTCTTTTTGTTTTTTTTTTCATATTCATTTTCATTTTCTTTTTCGATTTGTTTAATTTTGTGTGGTTCTTAAATGTAATGCCATTTTTTGTTTTGCTTTGTTTTGTTTTGTTCTTCTCATTGAAATATTTAGATTGCTAAATAATCATTTAAGTTGTTGTCCAAATCGTATTTGTTTCCTTCCCAACGTAAAAAGAATTCAACATGTTTTTGGGCTAAGCAAACAATAAACACAATAAATTATACACGAATTCACACATAGAAACATATGTAAGTTAAGTTAAGTTAAGTTACATTAGGCAACAATATAAACAACAAACAAATACATATACACATTTCATATATATGCATTCTGTAAAAATGTACAAGGAACATTAATTAATGGACTATTGCGGCACATGTTGCAAATGGTTTCAAAAACTCTTTTTGTTTTCCACTCTGCAGTTTTATAATTAACATTTTGTTGTTTGTTTGTTGGTTTCTCATCAAGATTGCACAGTTCTCTGCTTTTACATAAGTTTGTATTTGCATTAATGTTAATGTTTTCTTCCTCTTCGCTATCCTCTGACCTCTGACCTCTGATCTCTGACCTCTGCTCAATTAAATATAATATGTACGCTTCTTTTTGGCGCTGCTAATTGTTTTCAACAAATTAGCGCTAGGTTTTTGGTTGTTTTTTCATTTTTCTTTCATTTTTTTTTTTTTGCTTAACATTTTTTGTTTTCTTTTCCCATTCTTCTTCTTTATACATATACAGGCTTAAGATTAGTTTCGGATTCTGCTTTTTTTTAAGTTTTTGTTTTTGTTTGTTTTACGGAAAAGGAATCTGTGGCTAGAGCGTAAAAGTAATCAATCAATGCATCAATTGTAATATCCTGCATACCTCAGGGGGCATAAGTCCTTTGCTCCTTTTTGCTGTTGTTGTATTGTTGTTGCTCGAAATATTTATATAGAATTTATTTATATATATATATAAATTTATATATATATATATATATATGTATTCTGATCAGCTCTGCTCCAATTGTTCAACTATTCCTTTGTTACCTCGCCTTTGACCTTTTTGCTTATCATTAAAGTAAGTATGTATTTGTGTATTACAATTATTACGAATGATGTTTTAGCTAAAACGACAAATCTTTGTAACATTATTATGTTTATATGTAGATATTGTATGTAAATATTATATGCATGCTCTCGCATGTGTGTGTGTTTCAGGGTGTGTACGTGTGTGTGGGTGGGCGAGTCTGTGTGTGGGTGAGGGAACATACTGTGTCCGCCCACGTGCACGTGCTCAGAACATGCTCTGTGCGCACAGCCAACACACCCAGTCACACATACACACCACAACACATCTGATCCGACAACAGGTATTAGTACTACCGACCGTAATCGGCGCCCGCACTGAAGCCACCGACTCCTGTTGTCCCTCCCGCGCCGTTGCCGTTGCCATTCGCGCTGTTTATTTACCCATGCGCCGCTCCATTGTTGCCCTGACTATGATGCTGATGCGGATGCGGATGCTGATGATCGTCGCTGGGCGTGGGCGGCTGATCTCGGCGCGGCGGCATCCGCTCGTTGACCGCATCGAGTCCCTTGGCCTCCGCAAATGAGGTAATCTTGTGGTTGGGCGAGAAGCCCTGCATGGCATTCTTGAGGGACTGCTTGCCGCCAGAGAGAGCGCCGAGGGGCAGGGCGCCCGTAGGCGTCAGCCCCTTCAACTGCAGCACTGACTCGGACTCCTCGCGCAGCACAGAGAAGACGCGCGCCATTTTGCCAATGGCGCGTATCTTGTTGCGTATGACCTCCTTGCGCAGCGCCGCCTCGTCGTCCGAGAGCGGCTCCTCGCTCTCCTCGGTCATGAGCTCATCGTCGGAGCAGATGTTCAGCACATTCACCAGCATCTCGGTGACCTTCTCGCCGACAAAGGGCAGCGACCAGGTGAACACGTCCATGAAGTTGGGAAGCCAGTAGGGATGCGGCGAGCAATTGAACTGCCGGATGTTCATCACGTTGTTCTCGTACTTGAGTACCGCCGCCTTGTTGTTGTACACGTCGAGATAGTTGGGCGCCGAGAAGATGGTGATCAGCGAGGGGAAACCGGTGGTCTGGCTCTTGCGGTACATGCGGTAGCCGGCGTCCTGCGCCTCGTGCGCCCGTATGATCGACAGCAGATTGTTGTTCTGCAGGAAGTCGCAGCAGGCGGCGTAGCTGTAGAAATACGAACAGCCGCGCACCGAGTTGTGCGTGTAGAAGTCCGAGTTCTTCTCGTTGCCAAAGTCCTCGAGCGGATCGGACCACAGCAGGTCGCACATGGGGCCAAAGGCGGGCGGCTCCTTGAATCTATCGAGCCGCCTAATGTCCTCCAGTTCGTGTATTTCGGGCGACAGTCCGCCGTGCACGCAGAGGAACTGCTGGTTCATCAGCGCAGCCAACGGCAGGCAGTCGAACGCATCCATGCACGCGTCGTACACGCGCTCCGAGTATTTGATCTTGCACTCCTGTTTGAAGGTGAAGTACTCGGTCAGATGCCGGCACTCGTGGTTGCCGCGCAGCAGGAACAGCGTCTGCGGATACGTGATCTTCAGCGACCACAAATAGAGAACGCACTCAATGCTAAAGTAGCCTCGGTCCACATAGTCGCCCAGGAACAGATACTTTGTTGTTGCCGGCGATCCGCCCACCTCGAAGAGCTTCATGAGATCATAGAACTGGCCATGTATATCGCCGCAAACAGTGACCGGCGCCTCAATATCGATCATTGTCTTTTCGTGCCGCAACAGAGCGGCGCCCTCCTGAATGATGCGCAATGCTGGCGCCTCCTCGATACGCCCCTCCAAGATGAAATGCTGTTTCAGCAGCTCGTGATTCGGTTTGCCGGTGCGCGTATCGAATACCTCAGCTAGCGTCAGCTTGTGACTTGGTGGAAATGGAACGCTGTCGACAACTCGTTCTTTGGTGTTGACCGCTGCATGGCCGCCATGCGCCTTATGCGTGGGACTATCGTGGCCAACGCTGGCGGCATTCGAGTTGCTGTTACTGCTCGCTGTGGCATTGCCCGTGGCGGAGGCGTTGGCATTGGCACTGGCATTATTGTTGCTGCTGCTGCTATTGCTGCTGCCATGCTGCGTGTCTGTGGCATCCGTGGAGTTGGTGGCGTTGCCACCTCGCTGGTTGGCACTTGTTGCCACTTGGGCAGCGACGCCGCTCGATTGATTATTCGAAGACATATTTGCAGAACGCTGTGAATTGGATTGCAATTGCAATTGCTGTTGTGGCTTTTCCTGTTCCTGTTGCTGTTGCTGTCTCTGTTGCTACAGATGGCGCCCACACTGAGTGAGCGTAATCTATTGTGTGCGCCGTCTACTGCACTTGATTGCACTAGCTGCACACACGCACACGCACGCACAGGCACGTTGGCCAACAACAAACGCACTTTTCTACTTTTATTTCTACTCCTGCTGCTGCTGTTTTTTTTTTTTTTTTTTTTTTTTTTGAAGCTAGTTAGCCGCTTTGTCGCGTTGCAGGATTTTTCTATTTTTGGTAGTTAATTTGCTATATCTCTGTTACTGTTGCTTCTATAACACAACAGCAATGTATTCACAATTTGTATTTATATTTTCGTTTCGTCTTGGCTGCTGCTGTGCCCTGCAGACGTCGTAATTTCTCTCGCTACGTTTTTTTTTCGCTTCTCAATGGAATTTTCAGCTCCCCCTCCCTCTCCTTTATTTTTATTGATATTCTTCCAGTGTGACCACAAACGGCAGATGCCAAATGCTCCATTTTTCAACTGACAAGAATACCAAAAATACCATGTTTTACGTTAGGTCGATAAGCGCTGACGTAAAGCAGCAGCAAGATGACGTAAGCGGATGTAATGCAGTATTTTTTTGAAACAAACCGCAGTATTTTTAAAAGTTGATTATGTTGTATGCGTTGAAGTGTCATTACATACAATGTTAACAATTGTGTAAGCAACCGTTATTGTGCACATCATCTTTATTTGCTCAGAAAAAAATTAAAAAGTCTGTGTGCTTATTACATTATTTGAAATCTCCATATACTACGCAACTTGTATTCCATGTTATCGATAGGTATAATCAAATAGAATTCCAATAAGCAATAGCAGTTTCACCTTGTCTACTATCGATATACACTTTTGAGCACGATTAACGCAAAGTTAACGGTAACTTCTCTGCATTTTGGCGTCAAATTCGAAAAGTCAGACTGAAAGACAAGATGATCAGATATATGTATTTAAAACGAACATTTAGAGGAAATAATAAACGTGCGCGCATTTTATTCTCAGGATAGGTACTTGTATATTTTTTTTAAATGGTTTTGTATTGTTTTATTTTGTTTTTTTGTTTGTTTTGTTAATATTAATTTTGTTAATAACATTGATAATCTTTGTTTTTTTTTATTTTGCATTCACTTAAGGTTAAAACTTGTTGTCTGCATTTGTTCATTATGCCATTTGTAAATTAATTTCTTCGTCTTCTCTGGATTGCATACAATTTTTCATTTTTCACAACGGCGCAATTCGCATTTTGGCAATTTGGCAATTTATTTGCATTTGCCAGCCAGCTGCCCCCATTTTTTGTTTTTGGTTTTGTTTGTTTGAAATACATTTATAAATTTATAATATAATAATGCTTTCACTGTTAAATTTGTTAATTTACTTATTTTCGGTTTTATAATAAAATTGAAAATTTTTAAGAGAATTATCTAGATGTGATGTTTGTTTTTTTTTTGTTTTGTTTTTCTTATTTTCTTTTATATAATTGTTTTAAATATTAATTTGTTTTAATCTTGCGTTAATATTATTTGTTGTTGTTGTTTTTTTTTTGTAATTGTTTAAATATAAGTATATAAACTTTTTGCTTTGACTCTGACAAAGTTGCTTCAACTTATTATTAATATTATTTGTTATGTATATATATGCATATATATATATATCTATATATATATATATACGTATTTAATATATATTTATATATATATATATATATATATATATATATATATATATATATATATATATATATATATATATGCATATAAATAAATGTTTAAATATATATAAAATATGCATTTAAATTGATTTATCCAAAAGGTAAAGTTTTAATTCTTTCATAATTTATATATATATATATATATATATATATATATATATATATATATATATATGTATATTTATATTTATATATATGTATTTAAGTTTTTTTGGTTTTTTTTTTGTTTTTTATTTAAAGCATTCGAGGGCAGGAAGTAGATGTTGAAAAATACATGTATCAAAAAATTAGAGTTAAAATATATAAACAGTAAAAATATTAAATATATAAAAGGGAATTTATCCTTTCTTAGTTGTTGTTGTTGTTGCTTATTCTTGTTGTTCTTTTTGCACTGAAGACTTTTGTTAATTGGAAATCAACTTTCACTAGATAAACAAAAGTGGCTAAGAAATAAATAAATAGGTACAGTAAACTACAGAGACACACACACACTCACACACAGACTCACACACACACACAGACAAACTATCTCTCCCTAAGTTAAAATCATTTGTTTATTTTCATTTGTTTCGCGTAAACAAAAACGAAAATGAAAATTTTATTTTCAGCTTAAAAAAAAAAAAAACAAAAAAAAAATTAAACTAAATTTGTTTTTGAAACAATGTGATTGTACATATATATGTTTGTATATGTTACGCTAATTTACAACAAATTGCTTAACACCTGCTTCTTCTTCTTTTTTTTTAAGCATATCTATTGCAATGAAAGAAAATCAACCTAAAAAATTCAAAATAAAACAAGTTACAACACATTTCTCTCTCTCTCTGTCTCTAGATAAAAAAGCAAAAATCCAAATAATATATTTAAAGTCTATATTTATTATAACTGTTTTAGTTTTTCATAACTTTTTAATATTTAACAATTTGCATTTATTTAAAATGTTTGCTTTTTGTGTGGGATAAATTGAATATTTATTGTGGCTGTAGTAGAAAATGTACCGTTAAAAAGTGTTCTAACTGCTGCGCTTGAAGGAAAAGGCAGAAGTGAAGTGGGAGATGGAGGTAGAGGAATAGGAAGAGGAAGATACGAGAAGAGCGTTTGAGTGTGAAAGCCTTAGAAAAAAGATACGAAAAGTTTTCTTTTTTTTTTCTTATTTGTTTCTTTGTGTATATAGTATAAAAGTATTAGTTGCATATATATATATATATATATATATATATATATATATATATATATATATATATATATATATATATATATATATATATGGATATTTTGTTAGCTTAGCTTATGTTAGCTTCTTATTAAAATTTGTTTTTTTTTTTGTTTTAAGAATTTAAATATTTGTTTTAGAAGAGCGCGCTAAGTTGCATGTGTGAGTTCGTGCGTGCGTGTGTGTGTGGGAGGCGTAGGGGCGGAAGAAAGTATGCATGTGTGCGTGTGTGTATGCGGGTGACATACATGGGCCTGCATGCAAGGGCTTTGGGAGCTTAATAAATTTACTTTTGTGTTGCATACACATACATATACACACGCGCACATATATACACATATGTATGCATATGCACATATATATATATATATAAGTTTCTTTAAAACCAATAATATTTATTAATCGTACTGCATTTGTAATTGTTTTCTTCTCTCTTCTCTTTTTGTATTTATTTTAAATTTATATATATATAATTTAGTTTTTGTTTTCTTCTGGGAATTGAAATGCAATAAACTTTTGTAAATTGTTTATATATATATATATATATATATATATATATATATATATATATATATATATATATAAATATATATATATATATAAATATATATATAGATTCTGTGGTTCTGCTTAGCTTTATAAATATTATTTAATTTATTAATATATCTTTAACTATTTGGGAAATGTGTGTGTTTGTGTGTGTCATTGCATATGTGGTGCATACATACACACACATGCATGTACTCAAGTTGTTATACTGTTATACTGCTGCTGCTGCTTGGCTGCACTTGAAACTGTTGCCCACTTTTAGGCGCTGCCGTACATAGCGCTATTTCTCTCTAACTAATGTTCCCAGGCTACTGAATTTGTAATTTGTGTTTCGTTTGCTCTTTCGCTTTTTCATATAATTATTGGATATTTTGTTGTTGTTGCCTATAAATTTAATTAAAATTTGTATGCCTTGAAGCAACGATTTTGTTATTCATATATATATATATATATTTGTTGTTGCTCTCTCTTCATCTCTCTCTTCCCCTTTCTATCTCTGCCTCTCAACTACAACTGTTTTTTTTTTGTTTTTTGGTTTTCATCAATTAACATTTGTTTGTATATAATTTTCTTATGCATTATATATGTATGTATGTATGTATGTATGTATGTATAATTGTTTATAAAGTACTTCAAATTGCTATAAGTTTGCATTTTGTATTAGATTCTTGTCGACTATCAAATGTTTCCTCATTTTCATCAAATTTCTATTCTTTTACTAACTGCACATCGATCTTCTCCTTCTCTTCTTCTTTGTCTTCTCTTTGCTCTGCTCTCAACAATAAATTTGTAATATTATTTTAGATTTGTTTTGTTTCGTTTGTTTTTGTTTCATCTTTTATCGTTTAACATTATATAACTTAAAAATTAATGTACATAGGTACTTTTCTTCTTCTTCTGGTTTCTTTTTTAATAAATGTTTGTTTTCTTATTTTGGTTTTTCGATTTGTTATAATGTTTTGTTAATATTCATAATAATAATGTATTTGTTAAAGAGAAGTTGCACTCGTTTATATATATTTTATTTGTTTATTTATTTTTTTTGCATTTTATTTTTATAAATTCATTTCACTTAATTACTTAAGGTGTAGTAAACAATAAATGTATGTAAATATACAATAGGTAAAAACAAAAGGTATAAACAACAATTTAATTTATAATTCGTATGCATAAATATTACATTTGATTATAATAAATATATATATATAAATAGGCAATAGATAAACGATAAAAAAAATCCTAGTAACAGCTAATAACAAAACCCAATTAAACTATGCCCACTTATTTTACTTCATCTTCTTCACATTATTCAGTTTGCTTAGTTTCATTCTTGATTTTTGTATTCATTTTAATTAATTTTATTTTTTATATTTTTTATATTTTGTTTTGCTTGTAATGTAATTAACAAATAACTAAAATTCGATTAAGTATAAAAAAGAATCGACATACGCCGCGGCGTCGACGCAGACGCAAATGTAATGCTGCCGCGCAAGGAGACGCGCCATTGCAAACGCATTGAGTTGTTTTTGTTTTTGTTTTCTGCGCATTTGTTTTAGTATTGCATAGTTAACAGGCGCAAGGCGCTAGCATTGAGTTTCGTCTGCTTTTCGTGCTTCTTTTGCTGACTGCTTTGCCGCATGATTGTTAAAGTGTAAATAACAGAAAAAATATATGCATACACATATATATATGTAAAGAGACAGAGAGATAGAGAGAGAGAGAGTAAGAGTGAGTTAGAGGAGCGTGAGAGTAAAGACAGCAAACAGAGCATAAGTTAGTCAAGCTTAGTTTATACGCATATGTGTATGTGTATATGTATATGTGTGTGTGTGTTTAATACCGTTAAATATCGGCAATTTGCTTTTGCGTTGCTTTTTGGAGACTGCTGCTGCTGCTGCACATTTGACATCTGCTGCACTGCATCCCATTCGTTACAATCATATTTTTGTATATGCATATATATATATATATGCGTTAAATATATATATATTTATATATATATATGTACACATATATATGTATATATATTCAGCTAATGACTACGATAAAGATGGCACGTATATAAAGACCACATACACAATCACCAGATGAGAGAGTGTGAGGCGACAATGGCGACAACAAATGCACTCATAAACTTTGAGTTTATTTATTGAGTGTGCATGTATGTGTATGTGTGTGTGTGTGTGTGTGTGTGTGTTTTATGTGTTTGTGTGTGTTTTAAGTGTTCGTGTGCGTGTGTGTTTGTTTTAAGTGTTTCAACAGTAAAGAGTGTGAGAGAGAGAGAGAGAAAGTGTTAGGTTTAGAGAGATTCAGTCGTTTTGTGTTGTTCCTGTCGTTTCTTAATGTTTCTGTAATAAAAGATTGTAGTAAAATATTGCTGTTGTTTGTTTTTGTATTTGTATTTGTATTTGTTTTTGTTGTAGGAAGTATTTAAGCGTAAGCTTCTTCTTGGTGTTTAGCTTTAAAGTCGCCCTTGGCGCCACACAACGAAAGTAGTATAATTTCTTAGCGTTTAGCGTTTTTGTTTTGTTTTTTTTTTTTTTTTTGTTTAATTATTCGTATTCTTCTTTTTGTTAAAAGGTTGATTCTTTCAATTTGCTTTCTTTGCATTTTTTTGGAAAGGTTATATATTGATTTATATGTTTTGTTTTGGTTTTTATTCAGAAACGAGTTAGTTTTTATATAAAGTTGATTTTTATGTTTTGCTTTTGCATTTTGTAGCATTGCAAATAATTAAATTTTCCTAATTTGCTTTACAGCTGCTGCCGCTGCGACGTCAACGTCAGCAGCGTGACGCCCGTTAACTTCGCTTCACTTTGCATATTGTTTTACTCTTTTGATATAATGTTGCACAAAATTTTGATGATATATGCATCGAATTACATATATATATGTATGGATATATATATATATATATATATATATATATATATATATATATATATATATATATATATATATATATAACTATTTATACAATTCTATATTGTTTTACTGTATTTTATGATTAGCTTCTGCGTTTTCTGAGATTTAAAATTGTATTTGCTTTTGCTTTTGTGTTTGTTTTTGTAATACCAATAAGTTAAACGCTTGCATTTCATTTGCTTTCATGCTTTCCACTCGTTCTGTTGCGTGTTTTTTATTTTTATGTGTTTTGCATTTTGCTTTTGTATTTCTTTTTAATTCTGTTTTCAAATGCATTTCAACTGCGGCTGCGCAGCGGCGCCTGCTTGTATGTATGAGTGTGTGTGTGTGTGTTTGCACTGCCGCAGCTTGAAACTACATATATCTATTTGATTTGCTTACTCCCTCCCACTCGCACGAACTCCCACCGTTTGGTTTACTTTTCACTTAACTTTTGACTTCTAAAACTGACTTGGCAGCGCTGCAGCTGCGCTGCTGCTGCACTGCATTGCTGCAGCGCTGCTGTACAGCGCTCCTCTACTCTTCTACTTTGCTGCTCTGTTGCTGACTTAGAATTATCCATTGATTGAATTCGCATTCGCATTGGCCGCTGCTGCTGCCGCCGCTGACAGTGACTTCTGGCCCTCCTCCGCCGGCGAGGGCGTGGCGTCGCGACGCGGCGGCATCCGCTCGTTGACCGCATCGAGTCCCTTGGCCTCCGCAAATGAGGTAATCTTGTGGTTGGGCGAGAAGCCCTGCATGGCATTCTTGAGGGACTGCTTGCCGCCAGAGAGAGCGCCGAGGGGCAGGGCGCCCGTAGGCGTCAGCCCCTTCAACTGCAGCACTGACTCGGACTCCTCGCGCAGCACAGAGAAGACGCGCGCCATTTTGCCAATGGCGCGTATCTTGTTGCGTATGACCTCCTTGCGCAGCGCCGCCTCGTCGTCCGAGAGCGGCTCCTCGCTCTCCTCGGTCATGAGCTCATCGTCGGAGCAGATGTTCAGCACATTCACCAGCATCTCGGTGACCTTCTCGCCGACAAAGGGCAGCGACCAGGTGAACACGTCCATGAAGTTGGGAAGCCAGTAGGGATGCGGCGAGCAATTGAACTGCCGGATGTTCATCACGTTGTTCTCGTACTTGAGTACCGCCGCCTTGTTGTTGTACACGTCGAGATAGTTGGGCGCCGAGAAGATGGTGATCAGCGAGGGGAAACCGGTGGTCTGGCTCTTGCGGTACATGCGGTAGCCGGCGTCCTGCGCCTCGTGCGCCCGTATGATCGACAGCAGATTGTTGTTCTGCAGGAAGTCGCAGCAGGCGGCGTAGCTGTAGAAATACGAACAGCCGCGCACCGAGTTGTGCGTGTAGAAGTCCGAGTTCTTCTCGTTGCCAAAGTCCTCGAGCGGATCGGACCACAGCAGGTCGCACATGGGGCCAAAGGCGGGCGGCTCCTTGAATCTATCGAGCCGCCTAATGTCCTCCAGTTCGTGTATTTCGGGCGACAGTCCGCCGTGCACGCAGAGGAACTGCTGGTTCATCAGCGCAGCCAACGGCAGGCAGTCGAACGCATCCATGCACGCGTCGTACACGCGCTCCGAGTATTTGATCTTGCACTCCTGTTTGAAGGTGAAGTACTCGGTCAGATGCCGGCACTCGTGGTTGCCGCGCAGCAGGAACAGCGTCTGCGGATACGTGATCTTCAGCGACCACAAATAGAGAACGCACTCAATGCTAAAGTAGCCTCGGTCCACATAGTCGCCCAGGAACAGATACTTTGTTGTTGCCGGCGAGCCGCCAATTTCGAATAGCTTCATAAGATCATAGAACTGGCCATGTATATCACCGCAAACAGTGACCGGCGCCTCAATGTCGATCATTGTCTTCTCCTGGCGCAGCAGCGTGGCGCCCTCCTGGATGATGCGCAGCGCGGCGCTCTCCTCGATCCGGCCCTCCAGTATGAAATGCTGCTTAAGTACGTCGTGGTGCGGCTTGCCGGTGCGCGCATCGAATACATCGGCGCAGGTTAGCTTACGGCTGGGTGGAAACGGTACGCTATCGATCACACGCTCCTTTGTGGATATTGTGCTGCGTTTTGTGGGGCTCTGTGGCGTGCCGCCTGACGATGCGCCCGATCCGGATCCAGCTCCAGCTCCAGCACCAGCGCCTGCTCCAGCTCCAGCGCTAGCTGCACCGCCCGCTGTCGTCCCCGTCGCGCCGGTCGCATTCTTTTCATGTGTATTGTTGACGCTGCTGGCAGCAGACGAATTTGATTTTTGATTTTGCTGCTGTGCAGCAGACGCTGCCGCCGCCGCTGCCGCCGCTGCTGCTGCTGCTGCTGATGACTGCGATTGCGACTGCGACTGGCTGCTGTTGCTGTTGTTGCTCTGCGCTAATGGCGAAGACATTTTCCTTGACTCCGACGTCGACGACTACAACTTGGACCAGGCCGTCGCTGCTCCGCCCCCCACGCGTCACGCTCTAACGACGCTCCTCAGCTGCGGAATGTCCGGCCTGTCAAATTGCTAAGCGGCTATCGGCAAACAGTTAACGGGAGACGGCTAACAGCTAATGGCAATCGTTTGCGTCCAAGTCCTTGTCCTCGTTCTTAACCAAATGGCCTGCAATAACAATTGTGCAATAGGTTTCATTATTTATAGGTGTATAGCTGACACAGGTGCACACATATATTTATATATAAACGTATATATACATATAGCTAAATATATCCCACAAAATCCCCTTTATCAATTTGCAATTGCATTTGCAATGCCTCGCATCAAAATGCAATTAAAATATTTTTCGATGCAAAAACATTCGATTTTATAGGCCAATAACAATTATGTTAGCTTCCTTTGACATACCAATTTGTATCTATAAGTTTTAAGCCCCCAAATAACAATTTCGATTTGAATTCATTCATTGAAATTGTTAAATTTACCCAACAGAAATCTAAAATTTTATTTTGCTATTTTCTATCATTTTTTTTTTAATATTATATATGGCTTATACAAATATATATATATGTATAAGTAGTAATGGACTACAAAATTTGGTGACAAGCACAAGAAAGCAACTTGAAACGAATATTCAAATTAGCATATATATTATTATTAATTTTGATATTGTTCAGGGTTTGCGAAGAAAGGATTCACAAAAATTTAATTGTTCATAAAAATAGTAGTGGCTACTAAAAAAATTACAATTTTCTATATATCAAATGTTTTTTAAATTTGCAGGCTCTGCTTTGGCTATCCAGAGCTGCAAGCTTATAATTCTCAAAGGGTTAAAGCTTAGAGCTAGAGTAGTTATGGCACAAAGTTATATTTCTGGATAAAATCAATATATGATATATATATATATATATATATAATCGGTTATAGTTTTTTTTTTTATTTGATTAAAATAAATACATTCCTAATAGCAGCGCCTTGTGGAGTGCCTGACTAGAAGATACTCTGAACCTTGCATTGAGCTGCTATTCCCTTATTTGATGATACATACATGGGAAATGGGCTATGGATGTATGATAAACCCGTTCTGCATAGGGTATGCAGGAATAGAGATATAATATTTCATTCATGCAGAGGGCCGACCTACAGACAATGACTCAGCTCGACATCGTGATCAATAATATATCTAGTTAATGGGGTCTCAAAGTCATTATACACTGTCTATGGTGTTAAGAGTATACAAATTACCGTTTGCCGATATTCGATTAGTTGAGACCTCTAATTTAGCATTGTAATCGTTTAAAATTGATTTATGGAGCAATTTTGCAATAAATATTTAAACAATTACCAGACAAACAGTAATGTGCGTATGCGTGTGCGTGTGTGTGTGTAGTAACGGTGCAGATATGCAAGAAATGTGGAGGTAAATACTTAATATGCCATCAAACAGCAATCAGCGCAGTCTGTCACACAGGGCAACACACAACGCGAGTGTAACAAGATAAGCTAGAAGCTGACGTACATACGTCCCACACACACTCCGTCTCTCTCTCTCTCTTTCTCTTTGTCGCTGAATGGGCAAGCAGTGCAACAGCAATTCTGATTGGAAAAGGCCAAGTCACTTGACGGCGAACAGGCAACAGATGAACGTTCTATAAAACTGTAAACGTTACTGCTTGCTTACATATGCAGTACACTGAAAAAAAAAAAACATTTGTATGCGTTTTTCATTCACAAGAACTGTAAAATTTTTAATGCACATTTCGACGCCATTGAGGCCATTTGCATTTATATTCCATAATTATTATATTGCATAAGCGCAAGTCTTAGAAAAGAGTTTAGGAATAAAAGGAAAATATGTGTAACTGCACAGTTTTAGAGCTACGATTACCAAGTTTTACAGCTGGCATTACTCTTGATCTATTCTACAGGTAAACAATAAAAACTGTGCTTTGTTGACTGCACTTCAGCACTACTATTTCTATGAACAAGCGCTTTTACAAATATAAACACTTAAAGCATTTTATTCTTTTTTTTCTTAATTTTTGTTTAATTTCAATTGCCATTTCTTGCAGTGTATTTGCGTTAACGTATGTGAGTATTTATTTAAATAAATGCATGTATATTTACATACATTAATTAGGTGCAAACAAAGTTCGCCTACCTCATTGTAAATAATCAAGTCTCTGTGTGTGTGTGTGCGTGTGCGTGTGTATTGGTATGTAAACAAATAAATCGCTTTGGGTTTTTGCGGTCGCGCCGCGTAACAATTGCAAAATGTCTAGTTGGATATGGAGCCGCATGTGTTTACAGTTGGAGCTGTTATGCGCTCCATGCCAAATTGATGGGCGAGCAGAATTGTTTGACTGTAAAAATTATTAAAACTGTTTACAAACTGTTTCCAGTCGGCGACAAAGCCGACGGGCCGAGCGAGCGGGTCGCAAGTGTTAATATGCAAATAGGTAAATCCTTTAGGGGCTGGGAGCTATGCAAGTTGCGAAACTTAATTAAAGTTTGCACTCAGCTGTATAATTGAAAAAGTTGCCAGGCACTTTATCCACATGGATAGAATTAACAAAACTTGCAGCTGCAAACTTTGCCAGCTCTGCCCAGCGATAGTCATCAAAATAGTTGCCAGGCTAACGAAACATAGATTAGAGCATACTGCACTAGATAGTTGCATGCGAGTAATTATTCAATTAGTGTTGCCTCTGCCAGGCACTTTATCCGCACGGCTATAAGTGGATAGCTTCAAAGTTAGCCGGGTCGATATTGCTGCCACTCAGAGCAACTCTAGACTAGAGTCATTAACTGACACTAAACAGTAAACTTTTGCCACCTAGACAAATTGAAAGGAGTTCACTTACAGCGAAGCTTAGTGATTCATCACGAGCTTTACAATGAACTTCTTTAAAAAAGAAGCTGATACTGTCAACTTTACTAGATATTTATATAGATACATATATGCACAGAAAACTGTGTAGAATCATAGCAGCTCTTTACCTCTCGCACTTTCTGTGTGTTCATCTCTTTGCTTCTCTCTCTATCTTACTCTCTTGTGTCTTTCTCTTTATGCCTTTATCTGTGTCTCATTGTACGAGTTTATCTCTTTTTCTGTAACTCTCTGTCATATCTCTCTCTCTCTCTCTCTGACTCTTTCTTTCTCCCTCTATCTTAGCGTCTATCTGCTTCTTTCTTCATCGCACTGTCGCCGTCTTTCTCTCTCTCTCTCTCCCTCTTTCTCTCTTTCTCTCATTCTCTCTTTCTCTCTATCTCTCTTAATCTTGGTGTCTGTTCGCTTCTCTCTTTATCTTAGTTTTGCTGTCTTTATCTTCATCTCGTTCCCTTTAACTACTTCTCTTTGTCTTTTCACTTAGTCTCTCACTTTCTCTTTCTTTAGCTGTCTGTCTATTTACATCATTCCCTATCTCGTTAATTCGCTTTTGCCCTCCTTCCTTCTCTGCCTCTTTCCCTATGTTCCTCTCTCTCTCTCTCTGCCTCTTTCTCTATGTCTCTGTCTCCTCATCTCTTTCAGTTTACCTGCTTTTCGTTTTATTGTATCTCCGGCTCTCTCTCTCTTTCTCTTTCTGGCAACCTCTCTTTTTTCTCTGTCTCTCATTCTCTCTCATTCTGTCCTTTTCCAAATGAAATGAATCACAAAAGTGTTTGCTTTTAATGTCTTTTCTCTCTTTGTCTCTGTCTCTCGCTCTCTCTGTGCTTCGATGCAAGATAATTATATCTATATCTATATTTTTGTATACATTAAGCCCAGTTGTAATGGTGCAAACTGGTTCAAGCCGGCTGCAGAACGCATAGCCAAACTGGTTAATGATTTGTGTCAGCTGCTGCCCAAAAACAGTTGACAAGAATTATTTATTAAAAGCGAGCGCAAGGCTCGAACCGGCTTCTTCTCATCTTGTTGCTTGTGCTCGCAATTACTGAGCGAAATATCGATTTAAATGCACACACACACACACACATATGCAATTATAGAGATATGGAATATATATATTTGAATGTTTTCCATATGCTATTATTTTCTATAATTTCAATTTTCTGTCTTTCATTACAGTTGATAAATATCAAAGGAATTTCGATGAAATACACAAATATACATATATATATATATATATATATATATATATATATATATATATATATATATATATATATATATATATATATATATATATATATATATATATATATATATATGTGTGTGTGTGTGTATATAGATATCGATTTCCTCAACGCTAGATGAACCAATATGCCAATAGCTCTCTGCAATATTCTGGCCAACTTTAAGGCTTTGGCTCTGCTGTGACCCAGACACACGCACTCGAACAGGTGCCATCGCCGGCATAGGTTAAGTTGCTACATAAATTTGACAAGACATTAAATTGGCGCATGCAAATTAATATGCCTCGCAACAACACTTTGACCAGGTGTGCGAGCGTGTGTGTGTGCTGATATTTGAATTATTAAACAAGTTTCAGCGCCAAAGTGAAAACAACAACAACAACATTTTATCAGGGCCTACACGGGGCTAATTTCCATGCATATATTCCATTTGTTTGTTCATTGTTAACTTTTTTTTATTGCCGTGCGCATATTTTTGCGTTTACACGATCGCGCAGGCTATATACATATATATACACATATATATATACACACACATATATATATATATGTGTGTGTAACCTGCACTCACTCTGATTATTTATATACCCTGTTCACAAATTGCGCTTGTGCGCGTATTAGCTTTGCCCTTGCAAATTGAACTAGTTCCAAAAAAAAAAAACAAACAAAAGAACTGTCAAAATGTTTCACAAGTTACAAGCAAACGTCGCGCTAGTTACAGCAGCTAAATTAAATATATTTTCTTATATATTTTATATAATTATTAGCTCATTTATTAAGCTAAATTTGCTTTAAAAAAATTTAAATTTATTACTATTAATTTTTTTTAATTTTTTTAATGATATTTATTTTTAATACGACATTTAAATTTTAGACATTGCAACAAATTCTCTAGAAACTGAAAAACTCAAAAAAATAAATACAAATATTTTTCATAAAAAAATTAAAAAAAAAATTAAATAAGAAATATATATATTTATTTATAGATCTAGTTAAAAAATTTGTATTTTTGAATGTTTGTCATTTGT